CAAACCCTATAATAGAAACAATTTCTTAAATACAAGGCAAGATCACGACTTTATACCTCAAGAAGACTGCTATTGGTGAAGAGATTCTTGATCTATACTCCTTCTTCCAAGCTAGATGCTTCCAACTTCCAAGCTCTTTCCAAAGAATCACTAAAATCAATTCTCCAAGCTTACCATAACTCACACACTCAAGCTTGCAAGGATATATAAACTTAGGGTTTTCTAGACAAAGGGAGGCTGGTAAGGAGGCCAGCCAAGGGGGTTTAGGTCCTTTAAATAAGTTGTAACACCCTAAAATTAGGGTTTTATCCTAGCTACCAACTCGTCGAGTTGGGACACCCCGACTCGTCGAGTTGGGTCATTAAAACCTGCGACCTCAATGATCTCAACACAACGAGTTGGAGCTCCCCAACTCGTCGAATTCCAACAAAGATTTCTAATATTTTGAGAAATTTTTATACCTTGACCAAACACTATAGAGACTTAGGGGTTTTTGTGCGGAAAACCAAAATTTAGGAATGAGGTTTTTATCTCTGAGTGGGTTTATCAGTCGTCCCTTATATTTTCTTTGACACAGCAAAACCTAAAACCTCCTCCTCCCCCCCCCCCCCTCACTCTCTGCCTTGCATGCGTTGACTAAGAAGGACCAGAAAGAACTCGACAAAAAAGGGGAGAAGGAGATGGAAACAAAGAAAGAAAAAAAAGACTAGAAGGAGAAATAGAGGTGCGAGGAACAGAGCCAATCAATTGGTTACAACCAATCATAGCTTCCATAATCATCCATGAATAGCTTCACTCCTCAACATGATTACATTCCTTTGGACAACTGTTCACACGTGGAAAAGTGTGCCACGTTGGCTTTGACATGTAAGAACACCCCCATACGGGACAACCTTAGACCCAACAAAGTGCAGCGAGATGGAGCCAAGGGAAGCTTTCCCGCTCACTGAAACACCGCATCGGCGATATGGGAATGGTGGTGTAGGGAGGATGTGAAGGAACCGGTTGTCGCACCCTTTCTCCTCTTCCTATTGACTGATTTTTTTTTTTTTTTTTTTTTTTTTTTTTTTTTTTTTTTGTTGTTGTTGGCAACAATAATATGTTTAAAATTTTCAAATGTGTGTGTCTATAATATATATATATATATATATATATAATATATATATAATATATTAATATATATATATATATATATATATATATTATTTCTTTCCTCCACTATAAATATCAATCCAACCCAACATTGTTTTTAACCCATTTCTACATATTCTCTAAAAAACACTAAAACTCAATGTTATCATCTTTATCATCGGATTCAATGGCTCAAGAGGAGGTATTGTTTGTTGGTTCCGTTATGGCGAAAACTGTTGTATACTTTCGAAACCGACGAGGCCAAACTTCACGTCCACGAACTAAAACAAGAAAACCTTTGTTGTGTAGCAATTGCGAAGTCGGACACAATCGTCATATAGAAGACTACTTTGCAGATGATGCAGTGTATGCTGAAAAGTTTCCACAACGGTTCCGGATGAGAAAGAAGCTATTCTTACGTATTGTTGGGGATTTAGAATGTCGTTTTTTATATTTCAAATGGAAGTTGGATGGGAGATGCAAAAAATGTTTATTTCTAATTAAAAAATGCATGGTCGAATTCGTTAGTTAGCATACGACATGAGCACATACAAATGAGATGTGTATTTTAGGATGTTTAAACATACTATACCGGAGTGTGTGTACAAGTTCTACAAAGATATTACTTTTATTTACAGGCAACAATATTTGGGCAAATCAACTATCAACAATATCCAACAATTGTACATGATATTTGCACAATTCGTCTATTTTATTATTATTATTATTATTATTATTATTATTATTATTATTATTATTATTATTTTTAATAGTCTTGCTTATTTTAGTGTATCTTTTTATGTAATTTTTAATTGATGAAGTTGTTTTAGTTTTAAATAACTTTGATGTTTATTATTCATTTAACAAAAAGTTATAAATTATCAAAATCAATTATTTTTATTTTAAAAAGAAAAGAATGAAGTAAAGTGAATGAAATGATGACACATACGGTCTTAGCATCTTAGGCTGCACGGTATGTGCAAAGAAAAAAAACCAATTAGAAGTCCACATAGGCATAAAACCGTCTTTTCAGGGTGGTGTTCCAAGGCTAAAAACGTAGTTATGTGACAAAATAAAAAAGAGAAACAAAAAGATAACACTCGTTGCATTTCATTACCACCACCACGAAGTAATGAACACTACAAAAAAAATGTCAATTAGTAACCAAAACGATATGGTCACTAACAATAGAATGCATAGTCACTAAATGATTTAGTGACGAAAATTCCGGTCGTCACTTTTCGTCACTATAGGTCTGTCATAAAACCGATTTAGTGACCAAATATAAATATGGTCACTAAACAATGACTAAAATATACTCGTCACTAAATCTGTGACGATCCACTTCGTCACTAAATGCTGTCACTAATCAACTAAAGTTGTCACTATTTTATCTACTTAGTGACCAATAAAAGTCGTCACTGTTTAATCCGATTTGTGATCAGAGAAAATGGTCACTATTTAATATGATTGGTGACCATAGAAAGTGATCACTGTTTAATCCGATTAGTGACCATAGTAGGTGGTCACTGTTTAATCCGATTAGTGACCATACCAAGTCATCACTGATTTATCCTATGAGACACAAAAAGGAGTCAATAATTAAGAAATTATTGAAATATTAAATTTCATTTTTAATATGAAATATAACAATATCCAATTAGATAAAAGAAAAAACAATCCTATAAATTTTTACAATACAACAAAAACCAAATAAATCTTCACATTTATAATATGAAAATTAAATGTTAATTTTTAAAAAAATCCATACATTTTATCTAATATTTCAAACAACAAAATATAAAGATCAACCGGGTGAAGTTCATTTAATAAGAAAAGTAAGTTCAATTGATCAATGCAATTGAGATAAACGTGAAAGCTCACTCATCATAAATTCCATTTTCTTATTTTGCTCCTCTCGATATTTGATCTGCTCTTCTTGAAATTGTAGTTGCTCTTCTTTAATTACACGAATTTCCTCCTCCAATTAGTCTAAGGTAGAATCTGAAAGTTTTCTTAATCATTTAGAAAGGTTTGTCACTACAAAATAATGCAAGAAATAGTAACATACTTTTTTTATTTTGTTTATTTATTTTACAACTCTACTTCAGTTTATTTCTATAAAAACATTCAAAGTAGAATGTTGTAATTGTGTAAAATTTTCAAAGCATTATGAGAAAAAAATGAAAATACAGTGTTGTATTAGAAAGAAAGGAAAGCAGGATGCTACTGTTATAATTTATACACAAAAATAAATGAAAGAAAATTGTATTTGTATTTTGATGACATTGCTCAAATTGATAAATAAATCAATGGAAATACGTTGCTATTTTTAGCATTTAACTTTTTTTTTAAACTGTTATGTTATTGATTATATTATTAGTAACTTACTGGAGATATGATTCTTAGGTTCATATGTATGTGGATGCTTGTGAGAAGGTTACTACTCGTTATCAGGTAAAAATTATACAAAAATTTAATTGGAATAATATGAACATTTCATGTAGAATGGACCATTTTGCCCCTATCCTCTTCAAACCCAAGATGCACAAACTCAAGTTTTGTTTGTAGGGAAAGAAAAGGAGATGACAAAAATGGAGAAGGGCAAAATGGTCATTTTCATGTATTTTAACGAATAGGATGTTACCTAGGACTACCATATTAAAAAAAAAGTGATATACACACGGGATAAAACTGTAATTTACTCAAATTACTGGGAAAGAATGTTGAATCTGATAAACCAAAAGCTAAAGGAATCACATTGAAGAAAAGGAATGCTAAATCTAAGGTTAGTTTTTTCTAATACCAAATTATATTAACAATTTCCAGCATACAATTTTTTTATTATATATATTTTGAGGATTCAATTTTGGACCTGATTTTGAAGTTCCATATCATGGTTTTGAGAAGCCTTAGCAATTTTATCATAAATTTACGATAGTGTTATTTTGATTCTCATTTTAATTGTAACTTCATTTACCAATTAATCTAGAATCTATTTATTGCAAGAATACCAATTTTGTTTTTTTTTTTTTAGATTGTGACATACAATATATGTTATTGACGTTTTGGTACTGCGGTGGTCTCCTTATTTAGTCAAAATATAAATACAACTAGTACTTTTTATAATGTGTTTTTTTTTTTCAAATATATAATCAGTGACCACTACTTACTGGTCACTAATTGTTTTTTTCTTGTAATTCATCAGTGACCACTATTGAGTGGTCATTAATTGTTTTTCCACATTACATTTACTTAGTGACCACTATTTTTGGTCACTAAACCTTCAATATAGTGACCACTTTTTTGTCTCTAAATTTCTAACATATTGATCATTGTTCTTAATCACTATATAGTAAACATAGTGACCATTATTTTTAGTCACTAAATAGTTGTTATGATATGAAGCAAAAACAGTTAATTTTTTTTGCATTTTAGTGACTGAGTTAGTGACCACCACATATAATTCGTCATTAAATTTATAGGATTACCAAAATTTAGTGACCACTTAATTTGTAGTGACTAATAGATGCTTTCAGTGACCAAATTTTAGGTCGTCACTTAAAAATAGTCACTAATAAGGACTTTTCTTGTAGTGGAAGTATCACATAAGACATAACTATTAGAGGGGTGGTGTTCCCCCATGAAGTGCAGACACGTCGGCAATAACAAGCCATAAAGTACCCACACCCAATGGTCTTAAGATAATGGTACTCCGCATCATATCATTATTACGAAAACAACATAACTGACATTTTAGTCGAATCCAAATAATTATTCCCAAAAAAAAAAGGATGAACCAAAGTCAAATTCTACAATATAATATGCTTTTGGTACAACTTTTTATTCGTATGTAATGAATCGACTTATTAACAAAAGTTATAATTTGTCCATTTGGGGGCAACATTACTCGATACCTTGTGAATGAAGTCTTTCATTTGGGCAATAAGTTGTCCAGATTCAGGCAATTCCGGAATGATATAGAAAGCATGACACACATTTGGGTACTCTACCAAATAAACTTCTTTCCCGGACTTTTTCAGCCACTCATAGTATCTTTTTTGCCAGTCCTGTAGGACATCGAACCCGCCGACCACCAACATGACCGGCGGCAGTTTTATGTCCGATATGTCCACCGCCTGTGGGCCGCTAACGTTGATGATTGGGTGGTCCCGGTTGAACCCTTCACCTTCTGGCAAAAATGCCTTCCACATCCAATCTGTTCGTTTAACTGAAACTATTGGTGTCCGGCGAGGCGAGCCTCAGAGTCCGTTCGCTCCTCGCCGCCAAAGAATGGTTGAATTGCTACAACTCCGGTGACCTGCAAACATGATAACAAGGATATAAAAGCATTTACCAATTATAATGAATGTAGAAGATATTATAATGAGGGTCTCGGAATCCGTTCACTGAAATATATATTGTTTATGCTATTGAATAGTTCAGATATTTGCTCAAGATATTAAAAACAGGTGTCTATGAAAAAGATCAGTTTAGTTTAGAAAACTTTGATCAATATACCATGAGTCGTCGGAAGTTGAATTCACAGGCTCGTTGAGCAACGTGATGAGCTAAGTTTCCACCGGCGCTATCTCCAGCGAGAAAACAACGCAATAGATTCGCATTTTCCGGCAAACATTTAGACCTGTTCTCTTCATCATCAAGAAACTTCAGCACATCGAAGCAATCATCATGTTGGGCCGGATACCGATGCTCCGGCGCAAGGCGGTAGTTCACAGAAACAACAACAGCTGGTAGTTTTCTCGCGATGCGGCGGCACATGCCGTCGTAAGGGAAAACATCGGGGGAGAGCATGATAAATCCGCCTCCGTGAAAGTACACGATCACTGGGAGATCTTCACCGGCGTGTTGTGTAGGTGTGTAGACTCGGAACCAAAGGTTACGAGTCTTATCAACAATGACATCGTGTGATGCGACGCCATTGATTGATTTTGATAATGATGGGATCCGGATGTGGATTAAGGTGAGAATAGGACGGTTGATTGTGCCGTTTTTCCGGCAAGCTGCGTCAATGACAGTGGAGAGGACGGAAAGAGTAATGCGTGCTTTCCATGGTAAGGAGAGTGACGACTGTGGAGGTTTAACGGTGGTCTCCATTAACATGAAATCAAAGGGAAATATGTGAGTACTTCAACAAATGTGTTGTTTATAAGAATTGGAAATAGATATTTTAAATTTGTGACTCCGGGCCCATGCTTTCTATCTTTGGCCTATGGGTGTGTGACCATTTAATGTGATTGTAAATTAATTAATTAACTAGTTATATATTTATTATTATTATTTCTTTTTATGATATAGTAGTAACTTATTTTATGACATGACTATGTTTGTCGATAGAAAGGTCATCACCCAATCTTACATTAAAATGATAACTTTTTACTTTTCTATCGATACAATCATCACCAACTAATCTTAACTTTTTACCATTTATCAACAACTTAAAAGAAGGAATATATATATATATATATATATATATATATATATATATATATATATATATATATATATATATATATATATATATATATATATATCATATTTTATTTTTAGGTAATTAAAAATCATTAATTTTGATATAATTTTTATAACTTTTAATATATAGCTTTTTTAATAAATAATTAACAAAACTAATAAGAAAAAGAAAATAAAATTCAACCATTCCTAGGGTGGCATGTGGCTATTGTGGGTTGTGATCTTGAAGTGTGATGAGTTTGGGTGGCAACCTTTTCTTTATTTACGGCGAATTTATATATATATATATATATATATATATATATATATATATATATATATATATATATATATATATATATATATATATAATTGTGAACAAAAGTAACAATCAACATGACATCTTTTGCCCACTTTTGGTCCTTTGAATTACATTTTCACTCCTATTTTCCTTTGTGTTTCAATTTGTTAATCTAATAATGTATTTTTGTTTGTGTCCCATATGGCAGAAACGGTCCTCCTACTTAAGTTGCTTGTTTTTCGATTTATGACATTTTCTCCATTAAAAAAAACACTGCCTCGATCTTCCAGATCATTCTTACCGCCTCGCTTATCAGTTCCTCCCATTCCCTACCTGCCTCCAAACCACCGCCTCAGTCGGGTGTTCAGCGGGTTACCGTCGACCATGGTCACCGCCTCGACCGCTCACCGCTCCACCGCCTCATCCGTTTAATAGTCGAACGTTAGAGGTTGCCACTGTTTGCTATCGACTTCTTCACTTCACTCGCTAATCAACACTCTCTTTGCTAAGTTAAAGCACGTCGTTTCGGGTACTTCCATGCGCCCTATCTACACTTTCTCCTCTGTTGATGGATTCTGGAGGCTTCATTTGTATTTCACTTGCCTTCTAGAGGGATATGATGAAGACCAGGAAGAGAATCACTAAAAATCAAAACTCGAATCGTAACTCGGTATGTAATTCCGCCGACCATATTGAAAGATTCCTTTCTTTTTCCGCCTACTTCCAGCAGCGATTGATCGGATATGTGTTGATTTGGTGGGTTGCATATTTCATCTGTGTATCTACTATAAATTGAAGTCCTCTTCTTCTATTGCTGCAGGTAGCCTATCCAAACTCCACACTTCCTCATTAAACCTTGTCTTATGTTCGTCTTTTTGTGTTATTACTGTGATTCAGGGCAAGAAAATGAGGCTTATGACATTTGGCTGAAAGAAGTCGAACAACTGAGGGCATAAATCGAAAGGATATGGTTAGTTCGTAATCCTGGCAAGCAACCAATTCATCCCCGATGGAAAACAAGTAAGTAATTCATTTTATTAAAAATCTGATGTTGCTTTTGAGCTTTTTCTGGATTTCGGTGTGGTGTAGAGCTGCATGGTTAGAGAATTGAAAGTTCAGTTTGGTGATTCTGGTCTGTAGGCAAAAGGATGACTCACCGTTCGTCTGCACTTGGGAAAACACCTTCTGGTATGATTCATATTCAACTTTTTGATTTTATATGCCCTGTTATCAATTGAATTGTCCAAAAATTGTAGTATAATATGATAAACTAAGGAATTCCAATTCCTCCATTAATTGGAAGAAAATCATTATCTATTTCTAGATTTTGCCCCTTTTGTAGATTGCTCTTAAGCATGGAATTATCTGTTAATGTCCTTACTTGCTATGTGTTATTATATATAAGATACAATGAAGTTTATACTGAATGCTACCTTTTGGGGAAAGTTGGATTACTACACCATAAAATGTACAGTTGTTATATCTAGAAGGTGTTATGAATGTAAAATAAATTTAAGAAGTTCAAAGGCATTCAAGTAATCTTACGTGTTCGTTAGTATGATGAGGAGGGCATTGATGTCTTTTTCACACAGAAGAGATCAAGAAACAAGTCTGTTTCCCACCTTCAAAATACATTGCAACTTTTGTTCCATTGACTTAAGATTTTGAATCTTATTCATGTATATTTACCTTCTTGAATATTAACAGTTATTTTAATGGTTGATTTATTAGATTATGATGTCTTGGTGCTCATATTTCCAAGGTTACCCCTCCCCAAATAAATAAATAAATAAATACATTGTTGAACCAAATTTTAATGATAACTAGAAAGATTTTCCACGGAATGTCAACGTTAATTATCCAAGGGCAAATGCACTGGTACCTTTTTGTTATTCAAATTTGACACATTTTTAATGTTACACAGAACAGTATAGAACAAAACATTTAGGAAATTGGTGTAACAGAATGGAGATGATGTTGCAATTACAACATAAGAGAGAACCCTAATTCAATATCCTATCAACAGTCTTCTTACATCCAGTAACCAAGAAAACTTTTAAGAGTAATTACAAAAGTGATAGGATGAATGAGTACATAGCAATGCAACATAAAAGAAAAAAAACTGAAAAGGAAAGGAATTGCCTTGGAATATAGAATTGGTAACCACCCCAACAAACAAAACATTTCAGAAAAGGCCCATGGTTTGCATATCAGATCGAATTAAGCTAATTGAATGGAATTGTGGACCTGTGAATTGGGATATTCTCATTCGTAGGCTCAATATATGAAGCATAACGACCTGATACAATCTCTGAAACTTCTTTTTGAAGCATAACGATACATTATAATGAAAAATCTAAATCCTACAATAAAAAAAATGTTAGTAAACTGAAATTTATTAATAGAATCAATTATAAATAATGGTAAAAAGTAATACCATCGTTAATTTTTAGCCTTTCTGCTCTTTCTCAACATACTTTCAGATAGCCTGCAAAATATAATTATTAGTCAAATGTCTAAAACACCTTTCAGAAAGAATAATTATTTACTCATTAAAATAGTTGAGAAGATTAATAAGCTAATTTATCTTTAAAAGAAAATGACGTTAGAAAATAAATAAATTATACCAAAATTAAGCATGATATTTGGTTTGTTGCTTAATTTAAACCTAAATTGTTAAAAAAAAAATGAGAAACATAACCAGAATCAATCAAATGTCGAACCCTTTCATCTTCTTAAACAAAGGGTTATTATATACATCAATTATATAAAAACGGATAAATATAATTCATAAAACTAAAAAAAAAAGTTAGCTTGCACAGGTTGATTTTGGTTACAGGTTAAAGATATATTAAATTTTGGGTTTCATCAAAAGTTTCACGTCAAGTCCTACTATTAAACAACAACACATTACCCATCATTTTCTTCATATGTGTTTTTAATTACCTAATACAAAGTTAATGGTTGGAGTTCTTGATTTTGGATCATTGGTTCAACTAAAATATTAATAATTTAAAACTTTTATGTTGAATTATTTACATATAGAAGACCTTTAATCCAATTGTACATAGTGAGTGACATACCAGAATGTTGTGCTGAATGCTTCAAAAAAACTCAATCCATATGCAATCTTTGTCAATAGCAACACAACTCACAGTGAGAATAAAAAAGATACAACAACTTGCAGAAGAAAATCATATGTAATCAAATACAATCTTGTGAATGTCTACAGGTGATGATTATAAATCCCTATATAACAGATAAGCAATAGCAAAATGGAAGCATCCTCATAACTAATCAAAGAAATAAAGTGTCGTTTGTATGTACCTACCTGATTAAGCATAGATGGTTTGGCTGTTGAAAAAAAAAAAAGTTGACAGTTAGTCGGCTCAACATTTTTGGTTAAAAAATGCACATCTTGGCTTTATGTATGGTGTATGATCATCACCTGCAACATTCAGTGCATATGAAACATCAAATTAAATTCCAACAGCACAAAGTAAAACCAATAGTAAAGATAAATACAGTATTCCCAAATACCTTGTAATCAAGAACATGTAAATCAATTTTTTCTAACCAAAATACTAAAAGAAAAACAGATTTCAGAAAAGGTTTGATATTCGAGATGCTCCGAAGGAGTGTTCATTTCTATGAAGATTCATCGGTTTCGATGAACAATGTTTGACTAAAAAAGTCAAAATTGGACTTCGATTTCAAGAGGGCAACCACCGTTAAAAACCATCTTCTGAAATTGCATCGTCTTATCTGAGTGGAGTTGTTTAGACGAAGAAAATTTGGATAAGAGGCTCAGATCTGCAAGTTTGGAACCGGAGAAAGGATATCAAACACCGCCATGGCTGCAATACCATTTGTGCTGCCCCGCCAAGTTACGGGTTGTATTTCCCCCTTCGCCGGAACCCGATGCTCGGAGAAGTTAGATGTAGAACAATATTATCACATCCTCGACATGGATATCAATGGAAATGAGCAGCAAAAGAAGAAGGAAATAAACGGGGATGGAGGAATCAAGAGTGAAGCGGAGAAACGAAAGCAGATGACGACCATGAGTGAAACAGAGAGAGAAAAAGAAAGAAAGATCCACAATTGAAAAGCAAAAGAACAGGAAGAACGCACGTGGAATCTGGTGACATTTGACACGAAATTAGAACCCCAATAAAAAAAACATTAAATATCCTTATCTTTAGCAATGACAAAGAAGAAAAAGAAGCTAACGAATGCAGTAAAAAAGACCCAAAATTTATTAAAGTGGTAAATAAATGAAAATATAGGGACCCATATGGAATGTAAGTACAGGGACGAAATTTGCCAAACATGATCCAGAATACTGTTCTCATTTGACAGAAATGAACATTAAGGGACCAAAATGTAATTGACATAATAAACAGGGAGCAGTTCTGCCAACTCCTA